TTATGAATAAAGTGCTTAGGTTTCAGCTCATTTGGAAAAATACCACGGAGTGTGATTGCTCATTCTTACTCTATGTAGTGACAGTGTATTTTATTCTGAAAGGAGGTTCCTGTCTTCCACTGTGGGTGTTCCAAATCCCGTTTCCACCCTCGATGAACTAGGATTCCCTGTAACTTTGCATTTTCACCGATATTTGCTGTTCTGAATATTTTGACTTTTACCCATTTAATAAGTGGTTAGTGATCCCCGTTGTTGTTTTCTTTGCAATTTCCTAATGACATTTGATGTGGAGCATGTTTCATATTGCTTATTTTGCATCTAGATCTCTCCTTCAGTGAGCTGTCTGCAGATCTTTTGCCCATTTTTTAATTGCATGTTTTTCCTCTGACTATTACAGTTTAAGAATTCTTGGCAGGGGCTGGCCCCGTGGCCAAGTGGTTAAGCTTGCGTGCTCTGCTGCAGGCGGCCCAGTGTTTCGTTGGTTCGAATCCTGGGTGCGGACATGGCACTGCTCATCAAACCACGCTGAGGCAGCGTCCCACATGCAACAACTAGAAGGACCCACAACAAAGAATATACAACTATGTTCTGGGGGGCTTTGGGAGAAAAAGGAAATAAATAAAATCTTTAAAAAAAAAAAAAAGAATTCTTTGCATATTTCAGATGCCAATCATTTGTCCAGTAAGTGTTTTACAGAGATTTTCTCTTTCTCTGAATTGGTGTTGATCTTCTCTTTACACCATCGTTTTCAGAGGAGGAGTTTTTCGTTTTACTTAAAATTGTAAAACTTTTGGTTTTTTCTTTTGTGGACCTTGCTGTTTGGTTTTCTATGTGAAAATTCATCAAGAAACACAAGGTCATCCAGATTTCCTTCTGTGTTATCTTCTAGGAGTTTATTCTTTTGGCATTTTACATTTAGATCTGTGATGTGTTTTGACTTAATTTTCATGAAAAGTGTGAGGCCTGTGTCTACATTTGTTTTGTGTGTGTGTATTTGCACGTGGATATCCATTATTTCTCCCACTGTTCGTTTAAAATACTTTCTTTTTCATTTGAATCTCCTTTCCTTCTTTGTCAAAGTTCAGTTGACTCTGTTCGTGTGGGTCTAGATGGAAAGCAAACTTGCTGTACTCTCTTATTAATTCCGGGAGTGGTTTCTGTCATTGTGAGTTCTTCCAGTTGTTGCATAGAGACAGTCATATCATATGAAATAAATGCCATGAATTTAGCTTCAGGATTTGTGAAGATGTTCTTTCTCAAGAAGTGGAAGTTCTCCTCTATTACTAGTTTATCATAAATGAATGTTGCATTTTCTCAAGTCGTATTTTATATTCATTTCCCCTCCTTTCCTTTCTGATGTTAGTAATTCCTGTCCTTCCTCTTCTCTGTGTTATCTTGAGTGCATATTTCTCAATTTTATTGGTCTTGAGAAACAAGCAGCTTTTTTCTTTTCATTTTCTCCATTGATTTCCCACAATGACATTTATTTCCTTTCTAATTTTTATTATTTCTTTTATTGTGCTTGCTTTGGGTTTAACTTGCTCTTCTTTTTATTCTTTGCTAAGGTACATGCTACGTTAGTGATTAGAGATCTTTGATTTTTCCAGTGTATTTGTTTGATGGCATAAATTTCCCCCTAGATAATGCTTTCGCTACATTCAAGAACCTTTGCTATGCTATGTTTTCATGTTTTTAATTCAAAATTATTTTTCTCTTTTTTTGAGACTTGTAGTTTGATGCTCTGTAGTATTTAGAAGTGTATTTTTGAATCACCACATATGAGGGAGTTTTCCAACTCTTGCTGATATTGCCTTCTAGAGGAATGCCTATGTGATGTGAGAGCCTACTTTGTGTGATTTCTGTTCTTTCAAATTTGTTAAGGTGTACTTTATGTCCCAGAATGTGGTTTGTTTTGGTGAATGTTCCATGTGAACCTGAGAAGAATGTATATTCTGCTGTTCTGTGAAGTATTCCGCAGATTACAATGAAACCCAGCTGTTTCGCAGTGCTGTTCATTGCACGTCTGTCCTTCCTCACTTCCTGCCTACTGAAATGTCTAATTCCCGATGAGGGGGTGTTGACTTCTACAGCTGTGGTACTGGATTTGTCTATCTCTCCTGCATTCCATCAGTTCCTCCCTGAGGTATGTTGCCCCTCTTTTGTTAGGCAGGTACACATGCAGCGTTGCTGTGCCTTCTCAGAGAATAGACCCCTTTATCCGTACCTACTGCCCCTCTATCTCTGCATCTTCCTCAGTTTGAAATCTGCATTGTCTATGATGTCTATTCCTCTGGCAGCTTCCTTTGGATTCGTGTTGGCATGGTCTGTTTTTCTCCATCCCTTTACCCTTCATCTGTCTCTGACTTTATACTTAGAGTGGGTTTCTTGTAGACAACATGTAATGGTATTTTTTGAAATCTATTACTGTGTCTTTCAGTTGTAATGAGACCATTCATGATTAAAAGTGAGTATTGATTCAGTTAGATTAATATTTACCAAAATTTTAATTTTTTCCATTTCTACCCTTGTTTGTCTTCTACCATTTTGTCACCTTCCCGAGCAAAAATTGAGCATTTACTGTAATTCTTTTTCCCCTCTCTTAGCATATCAGTTACACATTCTTTTAAAAACACATTTTACTGGTTGCCCTTGAGTTTTCAGCGTACATTTACAACTAACCCCCCTCTGCCAAGTGACACTGTGCCACTTCACTGTGTGCAAGTACCTCTTAACACCCTGTCCCCAATTTTCCTTTCCCTGTGTCTTGTCACATTGCTGTCATTTATTTCTCTTCTCCATAAGGTTCTTATTACCAAATGCATTGTTGCTAACATTAGTTTAAACAAAGTGTCATCTGTTGTATTAATTATAAGAAACATAAAAGATATTTCCCCTCCTTTTTTCTTCTTCTAATCCCCTACCTTTATCATTTACATTCTTTCTGATAAACTTTCAAACAATTTCATTCAAAGTATGTGTACTCGGGACAAATTTCCTCAAATTTTGTCTCAGAAAGTCCTTATTTCTTCTTTATACCGAAGGATAATTTTGCTTGACTGAATTCTAGGAAAGTGGGTTTTATTTTCAACACTTTAGATCTTTCAGTCTCCTCTGTTGTTGTTGATGGTTTTTGAGAAGTCCCATTTAACTGAAATCTTTGTTTCTTTCTGGCGAAGGTGTGTTTCTTCTCTGGCATTTTTCAGTACATTCTCTGCGTGTGATGTTTCTCTAGTTTCAGTATCATATCCTGGGTTGTGCACTCTTGTACTTTATCGTGTTTAGTGTTCTGTAAGCTTCGTGGATGGACTGTGTGCTGGCTATCATTAATTTTAGGGTTTTTCAGTGATTATCACTTCACAGTTTTCTGTCTCTCTCTGCCTTTCTTTTCCTTCAGGTTTTCCAATTATGTGTATTTTAAGCCCTCCCTTAAAGAGGGTTGTCCTAGGCTTTATGGATATTGTGTTCTGTCCTTTTTGTTATTTTTACCCTTGCATTAGACTCTGGTGAAATAGATTTTTTTTTCTTTAGTGCAGGCCTTATTAAGAAGAGAATATGTGGCGCATATTTCAAAATGTCATTTTTTTTTATTTTTCCAAAATTCAGAGACATCTATTTACCCTATGACTTCAGGGCTTTCTTGGATCTAAGAAGGGTTGTTCATTTCAAGTTTGTTCATTTTCTTCTTGTGAGATCAAGAATGACAGCTTCTAAGCTCCTTAAGTGCAGGATCAGAAGTCGGCAGGGCATCATCTAGAGTGGCTGGTCAGGAAACACTTCCTCTTAACATTGGAGAAAGGAAATTTTATGTTCTTTTGGAGGAAACCACTATTAAATCCTTCATCTATTTTATAATCATGTGCAAATTTAACAGGAAACCATTGTGGACTTCTAGGAGCTCCCTTGAAATCTACAGCTCTCCTTTTTTTTTTTTTTTTTTAAAGATTGGCACCTGAGGTAACAACAGTTGCCAATCTTTGTCTTTTTTTTTTCCCTGCTTTGTCTCCCCTAGTCCCCCCGTACATAGTTGTACATTGTACTTGTGAGTGCCTCTGGTTTTGCTATGCTGGACGCTGCCTCAGCATCGGCTACCATGCGGTGCCGTGTCAGAAGTGGAGTGCACGAACCGAACCACTTGGCCACAGGGCCAGCCCCAATCTGCAGCTCTTCCTATACCTCAGGGTGAGCAAAGCTCAGGGTACACTGTTCGCATGTGACCAGAAAGAGCTCTTATGGCACATTATTATCTCAGAGTGTGTTCTGAAAATGGTGAGAAGTAGCTTTGAGGCCCATGAGTATAGTGATACTATGGTCTAAGTTTTCATGGCTTCTTCCTTGTGCTTGAGCTCTCAATTCATAATAATTCCAGCCCCATCAAAGCATACAGAGTGAGAAAGGTAAAACTGTGTTTCACTACAACAAGATTTCTATTCAGCCAGCTGCATCTGATTACCTGTAATGGCGTGGAGTAGTTTAGGACAGTGTGGGCAGCTTCGCTTGGTCAAAGTTTGAATTTCACAGGCCGCCTGGACTCTCAGTTTGGTGATGGGACCAGACCAAAAAGCTTCCAGTTGTTCACTGTGTTTTTATTCACTGAAACATCATGTAGATTTCACCTTCTGCTTCATGGAGTGCTGTAACCAGTGGTTCATATGGAAGAAGATGAAAGAATTTTTCTTAGTAGGAATCATCGGTCCACAAATGATATTTGTTTCATTTGTATAGCATTTCTGTCATTTCCCAACATGTTCTGGAACTTGTTATTAGAGAGAAAGAGGATATAATGACACCACAGTAAAATTGTGTAAATATTTCCGTGTGTTCATAATATTGTTAAATTGATGAGCATTGTGTACAGAAAAAAGGGAGTTTGTGATGATCACAACATAGAATAAATGTTTGGAGATAATAGAATCCCATGTAACCTTCCTAGAATTGGAGTATAGATCCCCAGTGCTGTCAGGCTCATGTATCCTACTCTACACACATTTGTGGTGTTTTAGGACTCAGTAGCCATTGAGGATGTGACTGTGAACTTCACCCCAGAGGAGTGGGCTTTACTGGATCCTTCACAAAAGAAACTCTACAGAGATGTGATGTGGGAAACCTTCAGGCACCTGGCCTCAGTAGGTAAGAGTGAGGACATTCCTTCACTGCATCAATGAGAGAACTGCTGCTTTCCCATAAAGAGTGGCTGGCTCAGTGGTGCAGGGATTAAGTTTGCACGTTCAGCTTTGGCGGCCCGGGGTTTGCCAGTTCAGATCCCGGGTGCGGACATGGCTCCACTTGGCAAGCCATGCTGTAACAGGCATCCCACGTATAAAGTGGAGGAAGATGGGCACAGATGTTATCTGAGGGCCAGTCTTCCTCAGCAAAAAGAACAGGATTGGCAGCAGTTGTTAGCTCAGGGCTCATCTTCCTCAAAAAAAAAAAAAAATGTTCTAAGCTGTAGAATATGAAAAGGGGAGGTTGTTAGTAAATAAAGTAGAAATGGTCAGATTATCAAACAGTTGTAATCTAAAAATTTTTCTATAATTTCTAATAATTGTAATAAAATTTCTGGGTCTGCGTTTCAGGAATAACATGGGAAGGTCATGATATTGAAGATGAGTGCAAAGACCAGGGGAGAAAACTAAGGTGAGTCATACAGTAGAAAGCTCTGTCTCACGTAAGATTCCCTGTATGTTAGGAAATTTTTTTAAAAAAGAGCAAAGAAAACAAATAACACTTGCTGCAAATTTAGCTACACTTACAAAATTTTGACCAAGTATACTTTCTGAAATGTGATGTAGAGGTTCACTTTTTGCAAAATATTTCACTTAGAAATAGTATTAGTGAACCCTGTCTATGAATATCACTGTTTGGATAATAGCAAGGGGCAAGTCCTCTTGCGGAAAATTCAGTATATTTAATTTCAGAGAATTCACAGAAGGGAGAAAACAGACATTTCCTATAGATCATAATAAACATAAGAAATATACAATCGTTAATAGACAAATCATTAACAATGTGCTTCTCATTTTTACAGAAAGCATAGGGTAGGGAGACTCTGTGAAAGTGAAGACGGTAGTCAGTGTGGAGAAAACGTTAGCCTTCTTCCAAATCTCAGTCTGAACAAGAAAACTACAGGAGTTAACCCATGGGGTTGCAGTGCATGTGGAAGAGTCTTCACGCATCATTCATCCCTTAAAACGCACATTAGATGTCACACTGAACATAAATCATGTGAGTATCAAAAATATGGAGAGAACCCATATAAATGTAAGGAATGTGGGAAAGCCTTCACTTATCTCACTTTACTTCGAGTTCATGAAAGAACTCATACTGGAGAGAAACCCTATGAATGTAAAAACTGTGGTAAAGCATTCACTTGTTCCAGTTCTCTTCAAATACATGGAAGAATTCATACTGGAGAGAAACGCTATGAATGTAACAAATGCAGTAAAGCATTCACTTTTTCTAGTTCTTTTCGACTTCATCAAAGAACTCATACTGGAGAGAAACCCTATGAATGTAAAAAATGCAGTAAAGCGTTCACTACTTCCAGGTCTCTTGGACTCCATGAAAGAACACACACTGGAGAGAAACCCTTTGAATGTAAAATATGTGGTAAAGCGTTCAGGTTTACCACTTCCCTTTCAAGACATGAAAGAACTCATACTGGAGAGAAACCCTATGAATGTAAAAAATGCGGTAAAGCATTCACCACCTCCAGTTCTCTTAGAGTCCATGAAAGAACTCACACTGGAGAGAAACCCTTTGAATGTAAAACATGCACTAAAGCATTCACTTCTTCCAGTTATCTTCAAAAACATGAAAGAATTCATACTGGAGAGAAACCCTATGAATGTAAAAAATGCAGTAAAGCATTCATTTGTTCCAGTAATCTTCGAGTCCATGAGAGAACTCACACTGGAGAGAAACCCTTTGAATGTAAAATGTGTGGTAAAGCCTTCATTTCTACCCATTCTCTTTCAAGACATGCAAGAACTCACACTGGAGGGAAACCCTACGAGTGTAAAAAATGTGGTAAAGCATTCTCTTCTTTTAGGTCTCTTGGACTCCATGAAAGAACTCACACTGGAGAGAAACCCTATGAATGTAAAAAATGCAGTAAAGTATTTATTTGTTCCAGTAATCTTCGAGTCCATGAAAGAAGTCACACTGGAGAGAAACCCTTTGACTGTAAAATCTGTGGTAAAGCCTTCAGTTATACCAGTTCTCTTTCAAGACATGAAAGAACTCATACAAGAGAGAAACCCTATGAATGTAAAACATGCAGTAGAGTATTCACCTTTTCCAGTTCTCTTCAAAAACATGAAAGAACTCACAGTGGAGAGAAAGCCTCATGAATATCAGGAAAGTGGGATAGGCTTTACTTCTCCTGCAGACTTTTGAGGATATGCACAAATGCACATGAGAGGATAAACCATGTAGACATAAACAATTTGGGATAGATTTTGTCATCCCAGTTCTTCCTGAAGGCATGAAAGGACTCACTTGATAAAAATGTCTTGAATGTAAACAGCATGAGAAAGACATCAACTGGCCTACATCTTTCTGTGTGAAACTCCCACCAAAAAGAAATGTAAAGGTAAGTCCTATGAAAAAGCTTCATGGAATTTAATTTGTATGTGAGCTTCTAGAAAACTTTCAACAGGAAAGAATTGTTATAAAAGTAGTAAATAGATTGTATTTATCAAACTTCTTTATTAAAGTGCAACATTGGACTGTGGATTTCTATTAATTACTTCAGAAATGCATATTGAGGTGAGATGTGTCTGCTAGTCGTCCTTAGTAAATAGTAAATAAGATTCATAGGTAGTGCTTTTCCCTTAAATCAGTTAATAATTTTTTATCTTTACTTTTTTTTATAATGTTTTAATTTTTCTCTGTTATGGGGCCATTGAAAAGTGACAGTTTGTATTTGTTGTGATTTTCTTAGTGGCCTTGTATTATGGTTCCCTGATATGCCTCATCCATTGTACATATTGTACGTGTTTTAGAGAAAGCTCCTTTTGGGGGTTGGTGGGTGGAGGAGCCTGTTTTTATTTTCTGTACTATTAAACAGTTGGAAAAAATTGTGTATGGCAAGTTTATCCAATAGTGTACTTCCTGTGAATTGTTATTTTCCTATTTTGGCCTTTGCTGTTTGTCCTTCCTTCTGACTGGTATTTGGTGAATAGACTTTAAATTAAGTAGAGGCCTGTGGCAGGGCAACAAAATCTAGAGCTGGACACATCACCCCTGTACTGCATCATGTCAGTGAGGGTAATCTGAAGAGCTAGATCTTTAAGAATCCATCCCCTTTATGTGCCATGTTGGAATTCCCCAATGGCCTCACTTACATGAGATTTGGAAGGCAGAAGCACACAAGGCCTTAGGCCGATTTTTCAGTGACCACACAGGGAGAGACACAGTTACGTATGAGCTTCATGAACACCATCTTCCATCCCTTTTTCTGGATTCTTCACCCTTTTTGTCAAGAGTATCTTGAAAACCACCAATAACTAGTTGATTTCCATATTGTTAGAGACACATTTTCCACCAGTTTCACATCAAAGATCCATTCGAGTTAGGGTCTTTCTGTAAGGCCTCTTGTGTCCACCAGGAAGCTAATTCAGACCTTTGTGGGTGGGAGTATTGTCTGATTCCCCTTTTCTCTAGATGATAATTGAATAACGTCTGATGTGTATAGGAAACACCTTGTGATGTTGATAGTGCTAGTGAGCACATTTTCCTGCTTGACCATGGCATCTACAATGGGACATAAAAAGAAGCACCTGCGAGTTTGTTTCCCTGCTGCGTTGTGCAGTGGCTGCCTTGACCCAGTTGTTCCATGTGAGAACAATCACCTTTCGCGTGCTGGGAACACTGTGTTTCCTGTTTCTTGTAGCTTGAATGGATTCCCTCGATGTGTTCTCAGTAACCTTGAGTGTATGTCAATAAAACTATGTCCATTTGTTTGTGAAATGAACACTTCTGTAGTTGTTTCATTGATATATTTTATCCACTGTTCCAGTCCATCCTATGTTAAATATTATTGTGGATTTCATTTTTACAGACTATATTAATATCCATTTTTGATTATGGATTTTCAGATACACTTTGCAAGGTTCTTCATTTAGTCGTTATACATTGTGAGTCAGTTTTATCATGTGCAGACCAATTCAGGTATTTCTTCCTTAGGCAAACTGTATTTCTTATTCATTTACAGTTACAAATTTTGACATGAAAATAATTTCTCATTCATTTTTAACCTAAAAATTAACCATCATGGTTTTTTTCGGTGCCCTCTTCCAGTGACCTGCAGGATTACACCTGCAGTCAGAGAGGGGTGTAAGGAATTCTAGTAAGAATGACCACAGACCTAAAGCACCTTGAGGTGTAGCGGTAACGATGCTCAAAGGACTTCTTACAAGATTTTGATCTGTGTTTGTGGATTTGACTGCAATTCAAGGAGGCAGGTTATTTTCTGTATTCATTGATGTGAGGAGGTAAACTTAATTCTACCTTTTGTGAACCTTTTTTTTGTGAACCGAATCATTGTTTTGTAGAACGGAAAAACAATGTAGTGAAGGTAAGTTAATTTTTAAGAAGTTCCAGTCAGTCATTTTAGTAAGAAGAAGGAAAAGAATGATTTTTAGGATTTGGACTTTTATACTTTCTCATTTTTACCTCTGTGGTCACAAAATACTGTTAGTTTTGTCTTGGAAACTGTACTTTTAATGAACAAGCTGTCAGACACTTTTCTCTTCAGCAGGGTAAGACCTGGCCTTGCAGTGGATGCAGCCAGCACATGGTCAACTGGAACAGCTTTGCCTTTCCTACTTATAGTCAAAACACCGATGTATTTCCTATGGTGAATTAGACCCTGTTTACTGTGAAGTACCTCATTGAAATACATACGTTCTCTTGGTATCCTACATAATATTTTCACTATCTCCTTTAGACTCAGCTGAGGCCTTTGAGTTTACGTAAATTGTGAGACAGTGCAAACCCAGCCAGCGAATTAGGACCACTGTCCCACTCTGAAGCCTTCCCTTCTCCGAAACTCTGCTGTTGCTGGTACCGTTTCAGCGTCCCTCACAGGCCATGCAGTGTGGAGTGGGTGCACACACTGTAGCAGAGCTGAGACACAGTGGGATCTGGATACAGAGCATGAAACAGACAATTCCTGGCAGTCCTGGTGCTTCCATGTTTGTGGAAAAGCAGAAGTGGTCACAGTGAAGCTTTGTTTTATAGAATAGAAGGAAGGCCTTTGAAGAAAAGTAAAAAATAGCATTGAGCTATTAGGCTGAGGTGTGTTTATATCTTTTGCATGAGTGTAGGAGTGAGCGAGGATGTCATTATTATTGTTATCTGGGACTTGAGACTTCCTATTGATCTAAGCCACAGATATTTGTATTGTCTTTTGTTTTTAAGGTCATTTGAGAGGATTTTTATATTACCATTAAATATTTAAAATGTTAGCATATTTGGCATTTTCGTTTTGCTGCTCTACAGACTGGAGTGTGCAACATACACCCCAGTAAACCATGGAGTTCCTCCCACTTAGAGAGACAGTTGCCTTCACCTGCCCTGTTCTAGCTCATCCTGAGTGAGTTCTATGAGTAGAGTGACATCTCTGTGAGTCCGCTGTGATCTCCCCGTGGAAACACCACAAAGAGTTCTGGCTGGTTAGAGGCAGCCATCCCAGGAATAATTGAGTGAGCTGGAGAGAGAAGGTATGATTTTTAGTAACATCGTAATTGAGTGTAAGAGGAGAAATGGGAAATTTTCAACATCTTTTCATCACAGGAGTGGCTGGAAGTGTTTAATTTCAATGATCCAGAAAGCCCCAGAGCCCAGGTAGCTGATCACAGGTTTCCTTTCTATATCCTTAGACGTCCAGCACGTGGTGTGGAAAATTGGGGAAGAGCAATAACAGCTTCAAGGTTTAAAACAGCAAAGGGAACAGGATGTTTTCCCTTTTTTTTAAAGTGTAAATTATGAATTGGGTTTCATTCAAATGGACACCACAGGATTGTTCTTTTGAGGTGATGGGATTTTTTTCACCTTTTGATGGCAGTCTTCCTAACATTTCTGAAAACTTATGAGGGCACTTAAGTATTTTATATATGTGTTTTATATATAATTATTAGAAAATGAATAATATAATTGCTTTCATATGCTAGAAGACTGTCAAGGTCTCCTGAACCTGGATTTTTATGTGGTCAAACCTTTGCACCACTGTGGCATCCTTCCTAGGAAGATTGCAGGACTGAGATGAAGGACTCAGTCCTCAACGGGCCTTTCTGGCAACACTGGCTTATTTGAGAAAACACCTCTTAGGGTTGCACCTGCCCTCAGCTCAGACTCTTAACTAAGAGTGAAGTGAGAGGGCTCCCAGACATTGTCTTTGAGTTTAAATCAGGTTCGTGGACAGATCTTTGGAAATTCTGAGGTCTGAAACATAAAGTATCCCAAGCAGAATCTGCCTGGGGACATCCTCGTCCATGTGCATTAGCATCAGTTGTTTTTGGTGCCATCCATAGACCATCTCCAGCTCTTCATTTCCCAACTCAAGCCTATTCTGTGCCTGCTTACTTGGGAAAATCTTTAGAAATCCACACGTCTCACTGTACATTTTCTCTGAGGCAACAGGAGGGACCTGAGTTGAGAGGGTGACAGAAGCAGAGGTAGAAACCATGTCATGGGCACATTCTGTTACCCACAGTGACTCAGCCACCTCAAATTTATCAGATCTGCTTGCTGACTTATTCACACGACACTTACAAATTGACGTACGTTGAATTGGGAAACAAAAGGCTGTGGAATCTTTGAAGTAACATTCCATTACTGTCCCCCTCCCTACAGTCCTTCTCAAAGATGCCTTAGCAGCCTCTCATTGAGCATCCAAGCGTCTCTAAACCCCCATGGTGGACATAAATTACCCAAGGCATTCTTGTACCAGAACTATTCCCTTCACCGGGTGCTGCACACAATTAGAGAAGTTACTGCTGGCAACTGACAGAGTCTTTATGTAAATAGAGTCCCTTCCACGGCCTGAGTGGATGATCCTACAAGCCAGCTTCCCATTTTGCCTTGTCCTGAATGCAGGAACCTCCATGCTTTCTAGTCAAAAGCCTCCTCATTGAAGAGATGGGTATTTACAGCATGGAGCCAACATTGCTCCTCTGGAGTATCCCATGAACAGTTGGAAGTGCTTCATTCTTCTCTGATGTAATCCATTCTGAGGAGATCATTTCCATTTTAGACAGACTGGCCACTTGGAGAGTCACTTAGCAGCACATGGGTGACCAGGGTGTTCATAAACTTTATGAACAGTGTGCACTGCCACACCCGACAGAGTGCACTGCAGAGATGCTGCCTTCTGTCGCTACATCACACAGGCCATCCTTGATCAAAGAATGGACTGAAGCATCCGAGTGATCAGTCAAACAACAGTCATGTTAGGAATAGAAACTTTCTTAGCCCAGAATCCAACCAATCTGTACATTTTTTACAGATCCTGAGCTGTTACCCATGATCCAGCTGTGTGGTGTCATGAATACCACCAACCCCTTATCCAAGGTTGCCCACTATGTCTTAAAGAATTCTGGGAATATCTTGCCTCTCAAATACCCAACTACAAATCTGGCTGCTCCTTAATCTGCCCATATTAGCCCTCAAACTGCAGAGGGTAATTTGTATTGCTCAGGGTGATAAATTGATGTGAATTTCTGAGACACATATCAACACCTCAGACCTGATGGTATTAACCTTAGCCTTATATCCCACATAATGTGAAACCACTCACAGACCTCTAACTTAAGAGTGTAGGCAAAATTGAAGTGATTTCCCTTCTCTGCCATGGTTAACCCAGTGATGGACCAGTGAACCTGATGTGAAAACGTAAGTCACTGGTAATATCATCAATGGACACACCTGGCAGGATGAGGAAGGGATCCCCACAGCTGATGGCAAGTAGACTTGGTAGGCCCGTTCCCCGATCCTCTGGGCTCCTTGCTGTGCTCAGACCGTGGTAGAACTTGATATGGACAAATTACTCATGCCATCATACACTACCCTGCTGAAGCCAAAATGCAAGGAGCCGCCAAGATGGTCTAAATTTATTGATATTATCAGCTCAATTCTGAATAGAAGAAATACTGGGCTCTTGAATAAGTTGTTCACTGGACATTTTACCTCTTTTACTACCACAGGCTACCCCCTTCAGATGATAGTCTAATGGCCTCCTCAGGCCAATTTGCTTTCTTCTCAATGGCCCTTCCTGCTGTTGCAGGCATTGATTAGACTCAATCCCAGTCTTTGGGGCTCATTGCTTTGCTCTCATCGTCAGGCTCACTGGCTCCTGATAGATACAGGCCTTTCCCTGCTGGACATTCCTGCCAGAACGGTCACTCCTAGAGGTCTCTGGTTTGTTGTAACAGTGCACCCTGGCCACCACTGTCGTATCCCACTGCCAAGTCTTCCCCTCACCTTGCCTGTGGTCTGTGTGCCCTGCATGTAAATGCTTCATTTGGGGTACCTCCTTCAAAACCCCTGTGGCTCATCACATACAGATGTGCTGTTTTCCTACCATTTGTGCTCATGTGCTCATTGTCATGGGAGTCACTGTTACTGACCTGGGCACACATGAAGTCATTCAGCAAACATCTTTCCTGCCAATCAAGAAATGTCCAAAACACTGAAAATTTCTGTGGCAGACAACTGGTGTTTGTGATGTTTCCCTGAAGGAAAACCCCTTGGCAGCCGTGGTAGCTGCTGCCCAGTTGGCTTTAAAGTATTTATTATCCATCCAGGGAGAGCTCTCTTCCTCTAAGAGGGCTGCCTGTGGTATGTGGGTAGGAAGGTGCCACCAATAACACAACAAGTGAGACAACAGATTAAAAGAATAATATCACTTAAGTATTTGAACAGAGTTCTGGAACCACACTTACACGTTTCTGGATCCCTCCACATATTTGGATG